TGAAATAATTAAAAACGAGAAAGAGAAAATTATTGTCATATTTTTACAAAAGGAATATGGTTCCCTTTTTGTGGTTAATGACATTCATTGGTCTTCCATTAAGGCTGGTTATAGAAACTGAATTTATTCTTGCTCTGCTTTGAAAAAAATTAAGCTAACTTATTAGCTGGAAGAATACTTTTCTGGTTCACAGTGATCCATAGACAGCAGGCACTTAATGAATACTAGTTGAATTTGCAGCAATTCCACATAACGGCTTGAATCCTAAGATAGCAGAACAACATTGTTCTTCAAGGATACAAGTTCTGCCTGAGTAAAGTCCCTGCTAGCTACTAGGAGGAACTTACTCCTGAAAGCCATTAAAAAAAAAATTCATTGCTTTGAATAAGGGTTTAGTGTTGGTGTTTTTATTTTCTATCTTACTTTTTTTTGGGTGAAATTGAATTGGCTTGGGCAGCCATTATATGGAAATTTAAAAGAAATAACAAGCATTCCTAATGTTGACAATAGCCCTCTGAGGTAAGTTAGTGTAGTATTTTCCAGTTCTGCTTTTTATCATACTTTCTGCATATGTGTTTTATCTTGTGCACTAGATTATAAGCTCCTTGAAAGAAATGGCAGTATTTTATATCAATTCAGTATTTAGCACACAGTCAGTACCTAAAAGGGATTTAATTTACCAATAATTATTTGAAGGAAACTTTCTAGGCCTTAATTTTTTCATCTGTTTGCATGTCCATGTCCTAAGCTCCCCCCCAGCTCTCAGGAAGGTTCCCCCCAAAAAGTAGCTATCCCAGGTTCAAGGAACTCTATGTGTCTATACTACTAACACTGTAACTCACTAGCTCTGACTGGTGAACTTACTTTTAATGATCAGTCAGCAGACAGAACTAGATCAAAACAAAAGCATTTACTGAGAATAGTAAGGCATTTATAGCAATGGTACCTACAAAATATTTTCCCCATAAATCTAGGGCATACTGTCCCACAATTGCATTAAGTATCTTTGAAAAAGAGTGAGCACATACTAGCTGTGTGACTCTGGGCAAGTTACTTAACCCCAACTGCCTCACCCCCCCGCCAAAATAATAAAAACAGTATTTAAAAAAGAGGCGCAGCTAGGTGTCGCAGTGGATAGAGCACCAGCCCTAGAGTCAGGTGGACCTGAGTTCAAATCTGGCCTTAACACATAACACTTACTAGCTATGTGACTCTGGGCATGTCACTTAACCCCAGTTGCCCCGCAAAAATAAATAAAAAAATAAAAATAAAAAGAATGGGCACACAATTAGAATACATTAGTAGGGAGGGACACTCATATCAAAATCAATGCATACTTCTGGCATGGTATGGCACCAATGTCCTTTTGCTTCTTGTATTATCCTCACACTACATCTCTTCAAGGCAAATTGCTCAGCTTGTTTTCCTGTGCCTGTTCCTTTCTATAGCTCAATCTCTGAAGACCAAGATTTATCCTCAAACCACACAAAGACACCCTCTCTAGAGCTGTCTCCTCACTCAGCTCCCTGGGCCCCATTCTCTGTTGGGTTTGATGTCTTCTACTGGGAAAGAATTCTAAAAGATGTGGCCAGTGAGGTGGGGAATGGAAAGAAATCTCTCTGTCCAATTCTAAAAAGTGGTATTATTCCTTTTCAAGCACTGGATTCTTCGTCCATCATTGGCTCTCTTGGCTGCAGCCAGTGGTCACATCTCCCAACTCCTTTTACTCCTTAGAGAGCTGTCTCAATTTTGAAAAGGCTGGGCTAAAAAATAACTAGTTCCTCCCTTATTCCACAAATTTTATTTGGGATAAAAGAGTATAGGTTTATCTTTGGAGTTAGTTTAAAATCTTATTATCTTGTTGTTTTTGTTACCTGCCCCTAATCTTCTGTGATTTCATCAACAGAAGTACAAATAAAATGTGGATAACAGTTTTTATTAGGTAGCAACTATTTATTGCCAATGAGGTAAAGTATTTGAAAATGACTTAAAGAGGAAAAAAAATACAAAAACATAAAGCACATCATACCCTCCCACCCCCATGTGCTCCATCCTTCTCCTGAGAAAACCTTAATTTTGAGTTCTGTGTAACAATGGGCAAACAGTTGGAAGGTCTGGCTCTATGATACTATTATCTTGTTTTCCCTTCATCTTAGTTTCCTGACAGAGTTCAGAAAAGGAAACTGCTTTATAAACTGTAAAAGTAGTATTTTGAATCTATGTTTTCCCCTTTTGATTACTTATAGGAATAGGGACTGTACTTGTAAATTCACTGGTACAGGGAACTGATGAGCATGGAAACTTCCTCTACCATAACAGGTTAGCACCTTCTCTGCAACTTATAGTATTAGCTGCCTAGAGCTCTGAGAAGTAACATGATTTGTCCAGGATCATAGAGGCTAGTGCGTCAAGACTCGAACCTTCTTGGCTTTGAGTTCTTCCTCTGTATTCACTATGCAATAATGGAGAAAAATTAGAAACCGTGCTGACTGGTTCCACTACAAATTTTATGTTACATAATCACAACTGTGCCCTCATTGCAGCAAGGCAATCCTTTTTATCTCCCAAACTGACTCTCACTCAGCACTGTAGCTTTTCCAAATTTTTTCATCCATTAGATTGTAAGCACCTTGAGGGTAGCCTCTTTTGCATCCTCAGAGCTTAGCACAGTGCCTGACACGTAGTAGGCATTTAATAAATGTCTACTAATTGATTTATCGCCCCTAATTTTCCCTCTTTTGACCTTTTCAACTAAGAATTTCACCTTGTATTTCAATGAAAAAGCTGAGACCATTTGCAGAAAGTTCCCCGTTCCTCATCTCACATCACTAAAATGTCCTCTTGCCATTACCTCCTCTTTCTCTCCTTTTTTTTACATGAAGAGATAGGAAATTCTTACCAAGGTAACTCTTCTACATGTGCAAGTTATCCCATTCCAACTATTTTCCAGCAGAATGTCCCCTGTATCATACTTCATCTCTCCCTGTCTACTGGCTGCTTTCTTATTGCCTAGGTACAAAGCTATTTCTCCCCTATCCTCAAAAAAACTCTCACTTGATCCATCCAATCCCAATAACTATCATTACATATCCCTTCTCCCTTTTGTGGTTAAATTCCTTAAGAAGGCCATCCACAATAGATGCTTCTACTTTCTTTGCTAGTACTCTCTTATGTTACTTCAGTTTGGCTTCTGACTTCATCATTCCATCAAGACTGCTCTATCCAAAGTTACTAAGGACCTCTTAATTGCCCAATCTAAAAGCCCTTTTCTCAGTCTTCATTCTTCTTGACCTCTCTGCAGCCTTCAACAGTATTCATCATGCTCTCCTCCTTGACATCCTCTTCTCTCTAGGTTTTGATAATAACGTTCTCTCTTCATGCTCTTCCTAGCTATCTGACCATTTCTTCTTTGTGTCCTTTGCTGGATCTTCATTAGTGTCATTCCTGAAAATCATGGGTGTCCCACAGGACTCTGTCCTTGGCTCTCTTACCTTCTCCTTTTGTACCATTTCACTTGGTGATCAAATCAGCAAACATCAATTCAATTATCTATATACAAAGGATTTTCAGATCTATTTGTCTAGCCTCACCTGTCTCTTGACCTCCATTGTCACATCTCCAACTATCTATTAGACATCTTGAACTGCATGTTTCGAATACATCTAAAACTCAACATGTCCAAAACTGAACTTTCCCATGAAAATCTCCTAATGTTCCTATAACCATCAAGGGTTCTGCCATCCTCCCAGTCCTGCAGGCCTGAAACCTAGGTGTCATCCTCAATTCCTCACTCTCTCTCACCTCCCATATCCAATAAGTTGAAAAGTTCTGCCATTTCTACTTTTATAACATCTTCAATATATCCTTTCCCTCTGATACTGCAACCACGAAGGTGCAAACCCTCATTACCTCACACTTGGAGTATTGCAATAGTCTGCTGATTTGTCTCCCTGCCTCAAGTATCTCCCCTCTTCAATCTCTCCTCCATTCAGCTCTCAAATTGGTCTTCCTAAAACTTAGGTCTAACCATGTTATGCCCCCTTCCTAAACCAATAAACTCCAGTGGCTCCCTATTACTTCCAAGATGACATATAAAATCCCCTGTTCGGCTTTTGGAATCTCTTATAACCTGACCCCATCCTATCTTTTCAGTCTTCTTACACCTTTCTTTCCTCCACGTACTCTTAGCCAATAACACCGACCTTCTTGCTGGAGCTTGAACCTGGCACTTCATCTCTTGACGTGGTATATTTTTTTTTGGTGAGGCAATTGGGGTTAAATGATTTGCCCAGGGTCACACAGCTAGTTAAGTGTTATGTGTCTGAGGCAGATTTGAACTCAGGTTCTCCTGACTCCAGGGCTGGTGCCCTATCCATTGTGCCACCTAGCTGACCCTGACTTAGTGTATTTTCACTGGCTGTCCTCTATGCCTGGCACACTCTCCCTCCCCATCTCTGACTCCCAGCTTCCCTAGCTTTTCCTCAAGTCTCAGTTAAAGTTCCACCATTTGCAAGAAGTCTTCCCTGATTGTTCTTAATCTTAGTGCCTTCCCTTTGATACTACCTTTAATTTATCCTGTATAAATTATATTTGTAAACGGTTGTTTGCATGTTGTTCCCTCCCATCCCCGATTAGATAGTAAACTCATTGAGAGCAAGGGGTGTATTTTTTTTTTGGCCTTTCTTTCTATTCCTAATGCTTGGCACAATGCTGGCACATAATAAGTGCTTAATAAATGCTAGCTGACTGATTCCAATAATATCCACACTTGTATGGTGCTTTATATTACAAGTTTTGCTATTTATTCCCATTTTACAGATTGAGAAATTGAGGCTTAGCAAAGAGAAAAATAAACAGCTAACAAATATTACAGCTACGATTTAAATCCTGTTTCCCAAATCCAAGACCTACACCATGTTTACAGTTTATACAACAAAGTTGAGAGGAAAAAAGAGGTGCTTTTGCTTCTTCTCCCCGCAGGAGAACATGGATATGGCTCCCCTTATAAGTAACTGTTGCTTAACTGGGTACAAGTCCTTACCTGTCATAAATCTCTGAGCCCTCCTCTAGGCCAGGCAGCAGCCCTATGACAAATGCCTGAAGACTCGGCAGAAGCAACTTCTTCAGTGGAAGAAAGTATTTCTCATATAGCCCAAGGAGGACAGGTCTCACTGACACTGCTCCATTTGTCAGAAGGGGAAACAAGCCACAACTGAGAAAAAGGAAAAAAGAAAGATCAACAACAATAATAATACTTCCTCATCTGAAAATTAAACATGCTTTTTTGATAACAAAATTGAATTTCCAAAAGCAAACCTACCTGTAAAGGAACAAATCTTTGGCAAGCCATTTTGTCCCTATGATTTTAAAAATGATTTCATAGGTCTCTAGGGCTTTCAAATGTACTCCACTAGGCAAAGCTGGATGCAAACACTGAGCTAATCTCTTACTGATAATGAGACGTCTTGGCAATAGGGAATATGTCAGATTACTTTGAAGAGCCTGTAAAATAGATAATATACAAAAAGATCACTGAGAGTTAAATGTAAATCTGACACTCATAGAGAGTGTTAAGACGAGGAAAACACAATACAAGCAAATTTTTTAGCCTTCAGTGTCACCACCAAGATTAAAATAATACCATGTGCAGAAATGAGTAGAGAAAAAAATAAGCAGATAACTGTGTAGGGCACCACTCACAAGGGTAGTGCAACAAGGGAAAATTTTAATATTATTTTTGATAAATGTAAATATTTTAAATTCCAGAAACAATTTCTCTCTGTCTATGAGTGTTTTGTATTAAAAAATATTCACATAGGGCAGCCGAGATGGTAGTGTACAGCTCAGGACCCGACTGAACTCTCCCAAAGTTCCCCTCTAAACAATTTTAAAATAATTCTCAAATTAAATTTTGGAGTGGCAGAGCCAACAAAAGGTCAGAGGGAGACATTTTCCCATCAAAGACAACTCAGATCTACAGGAGAGGTCTGTAACAGAGTGGGTGCAGGCCCAGGCCATGACAGCAGCAGCAGCAGCAGATTGGGGAGCTCTTGGACCAGAGACTGTGAGGGGGTTGGATAACTGGTCAGAAAGATTACAGGGGACCTCTGCTGGCACTGAGTGAAGCTAGCACTGACTGGCAACTCTGTTATCCATAAGCAGTTTTGAGTTGTAGTTCCAGGACAGAGACGTATGCTTGTGATTTGTCAGAACAAAGCAGGAGCCCTGGTCCCAGTTCTAGGACCAAGTGGAATGCTAGTACTTATGGTTGTAGAAGACTAGGGGTCCCTCTTAGATAAAGACCAGGAGAGCAGTGACCACACCTCTCCCAGGATAATACCACCTTAGAAACACTGAAAACTTGGGAACTCCCATAACCACCTTCAAAAACAGCAGCACAAAATATCCTGAAGCTTGGCACAGTGCCTCCCCCCACCCTGGGTGAGCAGAGTCTAACTTTAAAATAAAGTTCAAAGTGAAGAAATAGGCTGGGGAAATGAGCAACAACAAAAAAAGAACTTGACTATAGAAAGCTACTACAGTGGCAGGGAAGACCAAGACATAAACTTAGAAGAAGACAAGATTTGTGAAAATAGCTACCAAAAAAAGCCTCAAAGAAAAATGCTAATTGGACCCAAGGCCAGGAAGAATTCCTGGAAGAGTTAAAGAAAGAGATCAGATTGGTAGGAGGGAAAAGTTGAGAATGGAAATGAGAGTGATGCAAGAAAATTATGAAAAGAGAATTAATAGTTTGGTAAAATAGGCACACACAAAAATACTGAAGAAAATAACACCTTAAACAACAGAATTGGTCTAATAATAAAAGAGGCACAAAAATTCCTGAAGAAAAAAACTCCTTAAAAAGCAGAATAAAGGGACAGCTAGGTGACATGGTGGATAGAACACTGGCCCTGGAGTCAGGAGGAGCTGAGTTCAAATCCAGCCTCAGACACATGATACTTACTGTGTGACCTTAGGCAAGTCACTTAACCCCAACTGCCTCACAAAAAAGCATACTAAGCCAAAAGGAAAAGAAATACTTTCTTCCACTGAAGAAGTTGCTTCTGCCGAGTCTTCAGGCATTTGTCATAGGGCTGCTGCCTGGCCTAGAGGAGGGCTCAGAGATTTATGACAGGTAAGGACTTGTACCCAGTTAAGCAACAGTTACTTATAAGGGGAGCCATATCCATGTTCTCCTGATGAAAAGTACTTCTTAAAAAGTAGAATTAGCCAAATGGGAAAGGAAGTACAAAAACTCACTGAAAAAAAAGTTCCTTAAAAATTAGAATTGAGCAAGCAGAAACTAAGGACTCAATGAAACTCCAAGAGACAATTAAAAAACAGTCAAAAGAATGGAAAAAAACAAGAAAATATGAAATGTGTCATTGAAAAACAATTGACCTGGAAAATAGATTGAGAAGAGATAATTTAAGAATTATTAGACTGCCTTGAAGCCATGAGGAAAAAAAGAGCTGACATACCACATTTGAAGAAATTATCAATGAAAAGTGCCCTGATATCTTAGATCCAGAGAGTAAAATAGAAATGGAACAAAACTACAGATTACCTCTTAAAAGATATCCCAAAATGAAAACCCAGGAATATTATAGCCAAATTCCAGAGTTCACAGGTCAAGGAGATAATGTTGCAAGTAGCAGAAAGAAACAATTCAAATATCATGGACTCATAGTCAGGATCACACAAGATTAATAGTTTCTACATTAAAAGATCAGAGGTGTTGGTATACGATATTTCAGAGGGCAAAGGAGCTAGGATTACAACCATGAATCACCTCCCCCCCCAAAATGAGGATAATCCTTCAAGCAAAAAAAAAATAGACATTCAGTGAAATGGAGGGCTTCCAAGCATTCCTGATGAAAAGACCAGAGCTGAATAGAAAATTTGACCATTCAAACAGAAGACTTTAAAAGAAGTACACAAAGGCAAACATGAAAGAGTAATCATAAGGGACTCATCGGAATTAAACTATTTACATTACTATATGGGAAGATTATACTTGTAATTCCTAAGAACTTTATCATTATTAGAGCAGTTAAAAGGAGTTTACATAGACTGAGGGCATGGATGAGAGTTGATTATGGTAGCATGATCTCCCAAAAAAATTAAGGGGTGAGAAAAAGGGATGCACTGGGAGAAAAGGGAAGGCAGAGATAGAATGGAGAACATTTTCTCGCATAAAAGAGGTACACAAGGAAGAACTTTTACAATGGAGGGGGAAAGAGGGAGAAGGTGGTCAATGCTTGACCCTCACTATAATCAGAATTGGTTTAAATAGGGAAGAATATAGATATAGATAAATAAATATAAATAAAACACAGTTGGGTATAGAAATCTATCTCACCCAACAGAGAGAAAGAATGGAAAGAAATAAGAAATATGGGGAAAAGGAATTATAAGTTGAAAGGGTGGACTAGGGGAAGTAGTGGTCAGAAGCAAGACAGACTTTTGAGGAGGGACAGGATTAAAAGAGGGAGAGAAGGGTAATTAAAGGAAAATGGGACAGAGGGAAATACACAGTAATCATAACTGTGAATGTGAGTGGGAGGAACTAACCCATCAAATGGAAACAGGCAGCAAAATGGATTAGAAACCAGAATCCAATAATATGTTGTATAAAAGATATGTTGTGTACACTTGGGACAGAAAAACACACTTAGAGTTAAAATGAAGGGATAAAGCAGGGTCTCTTGCTTCAGCTGAAGTGAAGAGGGCAGAGGTGGCAATCACGATCTCAGACAAAACAAAAGCAAAAATAAACCTAATTGAGAGATAATCAGGGAAACAACATTTTGCTAAAAGGTGTCATAGACAATGAAGTAATATAAAAAATTTTTACAGCAAGTTTCTTTGATAAATGCCTCATTTCTCAAATACACAGGTTATTGAGTCAAATTTATAAAAATACAAGTCATTACCCAACTGATAACTGGTCAAAAGATATGAATAGGCTGTTTTCAGAAGAAGAAATCAAAGTTATCTATAGTCATGTAAAAATGCTCCAAGTCACTACTGATTAGAGAAAGTCAAATTAAAACAACTCAGAGATACCATTTCATATCTATCAGAAATGACAAATGCTGGAGGAGATGAGGGAAAATCAGTACATTAGTGAACCAATCCAACCATTCTGGAAAAAAAATGTAGAATTATACCCAAAGGGCAAAAAACTGTGCATACCCTTTAATCCAACAATACCACTGCTAGATCTGTACCCAAAAAAGGTAAAAAATAAAAAAAAGGAAAAGGACCTTTGTGTATGTGTGTGTATGTGTATAAAAACATTGATAGCAGCTCTTTTTGTGGTGGCAAACAATTGGAAATTGAGGGGATGCTCATCAATTCGGGAGTGGTTGAACAAACTATGGCATATAATTGTGATTGAGTACTATTGTGCTGTAAAAAATGACAAAGGGGGTGGTTTCAGAAAAAACAAAACAAAACAAAACATGGCAAGACCTATATGAACTGATGCAAACTGAAGTGAGAACCAGATCATTGTGTACAGTGTAACAGCAATGTTGTAATGATGTGAAAGACTACTCTTATCAATACAGTGATCCAAGATAATTCCAAAGCACTCACAATGGAAAAAATGCTATTCCCTTGAGAGAGAGAATTGATGAACTGAGTGCAAATTGAAGTATAGTTTTCTTGCTTTTTTTTGCGATATGGCTAATATATATGTTTTACATGATTTCACATGTATAATTGATATTATCATATTGTTTACCTTCTCATCAAGTGGGGGAGGTATGAGGAGGGACAGAATCTGTAACCCAAACTTAAAAAGGACAGAATGTTCTAAGTAAATAGTTTTTAAAAAAATACTCATATGTATCACAAACTCTGTGGTTCAGTTGAAAGAGTGCTGGACTTGTAATCAGAAAGATCAGACTTCAAATCCTGCCTCAAACACTCTCTAAGCCTCATTTTCCTCATCTGTAAAATGGTGATCATAATGTGTCCTACCTCACAGGGCTGTTGTGAACTTAAATAAGATAAAATATGCAAGGTGCTTTATAAACCCCAAAACACGATTTAAATTTAAGCAATAATCATAACAATGGTGATTATTATTATTAAACAGTGAAAGCTTAAAGCTTCCACTGGACAACTTCCATCCCTATTTCCACGCCTCTGCACAGGCCAGACCCCCATGTCCAGAATGACCTCCTTCCTCCTCATTTCTGCTTCACAAACCCTCACTTTTCTTTCAAGATGCAGCTTAAGCACCACCTTCTACACTGCCTTTCCCAATTCTTCCCAACTGTTTAATGCCATCTCTTCCTAGGTACTTTATATTTATTTGTATTTTTTCTCTTTATAGTTATGCTATACTTATAAATGTACTTTGTGTCTTCCCTATAAGAATGTAAATTCCTTGAGAGTAGGGATTATTTCGTTATCTCTACTTGTATGCTCAGTGCCTAGCTTGGTCCCTGGCATAAGGCAAATGCTTGATAAATTGCTTAATGATTGAT